CTTCCTTCTCCCCCATCCTCACACATGTCGTGCAGTAATTTCTGTACCCTCAGTTCCCACATTCTTATTTTTGTTTCAAGCACAGCCGAGTCAGATTTTAGTCCCTCTTGCTTGGGTCAGCTTCCATCTCTGGTCATTGCCCTGGCTATGCCTCTTTGTCCCTGTTCAGTGCCATCTCTTGGTACCTATTCCAGGTGTTCCTGTTACCCAAATTCCACCCTGCAATGACCTCAGACCATCCTGTGTGTCCTTTGAAACCTTCTAGAGTAAAGACAACTCCCTGTCAGGACCCCCAGCTGGCCCCTGCCCCAGCTGGGGCAGTGATGTCCCCTCCTGGTGGCCTGGAGGAGACCCAGTGTACAGGTCCTCTCTCTCTGTGACTAGCGCTCTCCTGCTGTGCCCTTGCCTGTCCCCTCCAGTTATGTCCACTCCTGAGCTGACCCTTCCTGTGTCCTCTTCCTCCTTGCCAGGCCTCTGTGGTCCCTCCCTTGACCACGGCATTTCCCACCCAGCCTTGTCCTCCCTCTCAGTCCCCCTCAGATCCACCTGCTTCAGATCAGTGCCGCCCTTTCCTGCCGAGAGTCCCCTTCTTATGTACCTGGGGACTTGCCCTGTCCAGGTCATGTCATGTGCCCTTGCCCAGCCTGGCGCTGCCTTGCCACTGCTCCCTGTCACCTTGCTGACTCCAGCTTTTACACTTGTCCCTGGGTAGGAATACTGTGAGGTGACTACAGCACCCCTCCGCTCCCCTTTGCACCAGGGGATGCTCTTTTCTCATCTGCACAGCCATGGGGGATCCTGGAACTGCTCGTTCTGAGCTGTGTGCTTTTGTCTCCCTGCCGTGCCCTTGCCCGACAAATTCCTGACTGATTTGCATCTGTGACTGGGGACCAGGCTGTGAGCCTCAGCAAAAGGTGAAACCCAGAGCCTGGGGCCTTGGTCAAGGGGTCTCAGAAAGGCTCCTTACAGGGAATGTACCTTTGTTAAGGAAGTGTTCAAAGTTCTGCCCAGGGAAAATTGACAGCGAAGTGATATTTCCTTTGATGCTTTACTGCTCAGGAAAAAATGCAAATTACTGTTTATTGACATATTTCAAAGGGTGCAGATCTGACCGAGAAGATATATCTCTGGAAGGAGCTTGGGCAGCTGGCAGCTGTGTGAGGGGATGGGTAGGTTCCCAGTAGAACCTATGGTCACCTTTTCTTTCTCCTAATAACGTTATGGATGGGCACATTGCATCACTGACCCTTTCTGGGCCTCCACTTCCTAGCTGCAAACAGCTAGGTCCCTTGTTATATCTCTGGTGGTGCTGCAGTGGATGGACCAGTTAGAGCTGATGGATGTATTTCTGAACTGCAAAATGCATGCTTATTACACATGGACACACACACATACTCACTCACACTTGTGGCCACATGGTTACGTAGAGGCCTGACTGTTAATAAGTCAACCAAACCACTGACCCTGTAATTTTGAAGTAGCTACAGGAAGCTGATTCTACTGTGAGGTCTGGCAGTCATCACAGTGATGGCACTTGCATCCAGGGGTCAGTGAGTACTGACTCCATCAAAGTACCCCTGTCTGTGAGTGGAAGGTTTTCACAGGATCCTCCTTGGGTGTGCATGGCAGGACCTGGTAAGAGTTATTCAAAGCTACTTGCAGGACACAAATATCCTTCATGACAGGAGTTGCAGACCTTGCAGAGAAACAAAGAGGATTTCAAATGAATTGCAGATGGTAGGGGAGGGGCTGTCCCAGCTCTAGAGAGGGGAAGCTGGTGTTCCCACTCCTGATTGGCAGGTCACTCTGCTCTGAGAGTCCTCAGTACTAAGTACCCCTTTCAGACAGGGTGAGATGCCCTGCAGGGAGCTTCGTGGATCCTGCCAGCAGCTCACCAAGTGTAACCTCTTTGCAGTGTGCTCCGTTCTGTAAAATCCAGAGAGTTCTCAGGAAAGTGACAGTTCCATCAGGCCAGAGTGAGACACTGGGGTGAGAGGAGAGGATGAAAAGCAAAAGGAGCTGGGAAGAAGAAGATAGGGAGGAAACTGCAGGTGGGGGAGGAGGAAGAGTCATGGCACACACTCACCTGGGCGTTGGGGGAGGGAGGCGCAGGGAGGAGGACCTCCCCAGCTCCTGGAGCCTCACCTTCCTTTCCTCCTGTTTCTGTGGAAAGAGATTCCTGGTGCTGCCCACTACAGAAAGCACCCCTAGTTCCCTGGTGAGTACCTGGCTGGCCCACAAAGTTGACTGTGGTAGGGATGTCCTTGCATTTGTGGTCCCCTCACCCATGGGCAGACCCCTACAGTCACAGCCTCTGGCCCACCTTCCCAGAGAGAAATGAGTGATTTCCACACATCTGCCTACTGAGACTCTCGGAGCCCCAGAAACATTCAAGGGAAGAGATTCTGAATGGCCTAACATGAGCCTGGTATCCCTTAGGGTCTGACCAGCCAGGGCCTAAGGCTGGCAGGGTGGATGTCCTCGTAACCATGTGAAAGTACCTGATGCCCACTTCATTGTAACAATCAGAGGCATCGAGGCAGGATCCATCCTCCTGGGGCTTGGATAACTCACTGCTGTAGGAGTATCTTAGGAATGGTAGGGGGCCTCAGAATCCTGGGCATGGGCTCACCAAGTCGCAGTAGCACTGCTGATTGTCACATGCAAAGAGATCTCCTGATGTTGACGGGTCCACAAAGGAATAAAAGCACCCCCATGAGAACCACCACTCCAGGGAACAGGGAAACCTATGTGGGTTTTCTTCCCGCTATGGGAATGATGTGAGGCAGATTCCCTCTGCTTGCGCCCCTGTCCCAGTCACTCTGACCTCCCTGAAGTGGTGATAACACCTCACAGCATGGCGTGTCCTCTAGGCCAGGCGAGGCAGCTCATGCTCCAGCACAGTGGTTTTGGAACATCCCAGGACAAAGCCTCTCTGCCCAGAGGTGGCCTCAGAGGGGACTTGAGGCAGTATGTGCCAGGCATGTAGGTGATGTCCTGCATGGGTCCAGGTACAAGAGCAAACAGGGTCCCAGGCTGGTTCTGGAGTAGTGGCCTCCCTTAGACACTACCACTGGGAACTCACAGAGCAGGGCCCTTCTGACGGCTCTCCTCATTGGCTTTACCATCGGGCCCAGGTCCCTTGAAGGGTGGCCCCTTCTGGCTTCCGACCACTCCCTATGTGTGTGGGTTCTGTGGCTTTCGTAGTAGGAGATGCAGACCCCCTGTAAGTGCATCTCACCGTCTTCTCTCGAAATATATAAAACAATTTGATTGAGATACAGTGCATCCTCCCCACAGTTTGCCCTGGTGAAGTGTAGAATTCTCTGATCTTTGAGCCACTTGTAGAATTTTGTACTTAGCACCACAGCTGATATAAGAACATTTCAACATTTCATCACTCGAAAAAAATCTGGACCTTGTGAGTAGCCATTCTGATGCATGGACCCTCCCAGCCCTACACAACCATCTGTCTACTTTCTGCCTCTAGGTTTGGGGGCTTTTGTGCTGTGCTGCCAGGCTGAGGGTCTCTGCAGTATCCCTTCCAACCCCAGGCTGTATGATTCCCCAGTACAGGTGCCCTTCTGTCCTGCGTGTCTCTGACCTGTCATTTCCCACAGCTAACACCAAGGGGACTTTCTGATTAGTTATTTCATTTATTCTTTCACTGAACCATCATGGGAGTGTTGGTTCTGTGTAATCCTTCCTGGCATCCATGCCTAGACTTGTGGTCAACATGGAGCATTGGAAAAGCGCCCAGTTCAGGGCTAGACTGTGACCTGCACTGAGGTTATTGGTGAATAAGAAATTGTGCCCTGGGTTGGTAGTGGGCTGACTGCCCTCTGTCTGGTCTCAGAAACCTGGGCATGAACCCCAGCCTATAACAATCATTTAAATGCACACCCTAAACTGTGATTTAGTCTTAATAGCCAACTTCATTCATGAGGAAAAATTACTCTTAGATAGTAATGCAACACACAGTGACTTTTGGTTGATACAGACTGCACAGGCAACAATGGTCCCATAAGGTGATATCACTAGTGCTGTTGCAGGCATCTCAGTTTGTGGAAGTGCACATTGTGATGAAATCACCCAAGGACATGTTTCTCAGAACCTGTCCCCATTAAGGGACACACGGCCCAAGCCAGTGCTACTGTCCACACTGTTGCCTGCTTTTGTATTTGTAGTTGTCATCCCTGCCTGCCTCACTGGGAGTTCACAAGGACTCAGCAAGTGGTTCTCTGCCAGACCAGTGTGCAAATAAATGGACGGGATTAGACTGATTTTCCCTGTAAAAATTCATAAGGAATGACAGATTTCCTGCGCGTTTACAAGAGTAAAAAATATATGTCTACCCAAAAAGATTCCTGCTTTTGTCTCCCTGACCCTTTTTCTTCCCAGAAGTCAGGGCCCACTAGCACCTGCAGAGCACCCCGCTTTCATGCCACTTGGATTTGAAACTTTAAAACGCCAAGGAAGCTAAGCCACCCTGTTGGTCTAAGACATTGCTTTTCTGTCTGGAAATGTTGCTTGTCAATTTCCAGCTGTTTGCCCAGTTTGTGCTGAAGCTTCCTAGGTAAAGGATTTTTTAGAATGTTCCCCACCCCCTGGCCATTGTTTTAGTACATGTATGCTGTCTGTACATTTTTCTCTTTCTTCCTGTTGGCATTTTACTTATGGCATTTCACTTGTTACATATTTTATAGACATGTACAAGAATTTCTCTTCCTGTAGAGCACCGTGTTCCAGAGTGGAATCATTTGTTCATGGAATGCATGTATTTTAGGTATTTTATAGATCCTGCCAAGCCGCCACCCAAAGCAACAATTAACCCTCAGCTGACAGCATCTGAGACCCCATTTGCTGTTAGACAAAACTACCACCCTTTTAACTTTGCAGGCATGGCTCTGAGATATCCTGTGAGCATGTGTTTCCAAAGGGCCTTATCTGAACAATGTCCATGTCACTGTTTTACAAGATTTCTTTATTTCTATCTGCAGGACAGCTGTGCAAGAGTGTTGCTGTTTCGAGGCGGAAATAAGGAATTGAAAAACTACAACAGCCAGACCCCCTTTCAGGTAAGGAGAGCCCTAGGCAGCCTGCAGTGCCCGTGTGAGAGCTATAGCGGGTCGCAGCTGTTTCTACACGCTGTATGCATTGCATATACAATGCGAGGTTGGTCGTTGTGCATTGGCTGTTCCCTGCATCAGAGGCTGCATCCCAAGTGACTAGTGACTCTGGGTTTGCCTGTGTCTTGCTTCCTGTTGGGTCAGATGACACGAATAATGCAGAGGCTCCTGTCGTGGAGTATGCTAGAAAGACAATAAAATCATGGCTTCTTTCAGTTCTGCAGTTGGGGGGAAGTGCAGGCTCTGCTAGCCACTGACCTAAGTGGGCAAGCTTCGTGGGAGGGGTGCTCAGTCAAACCGCTATTCTGGGCTGCCCCAGAATGCAGGAAGAATCCCCTGCATCTGGCCTGGTGGCCATGGGGTTCTGTGGTAGAACACACCACCAGGTCCTAATTTTTTGGGGCAAAATACACATAACACAAAGTTTAACTATTTTAATTATTTGATCATATAACAATTTAGTGACATTGAGGCCATTCATGATGTTGTACAAGAAGTCACGCTGTCTAGTTATAAATTTCCAACAGGAAAACCTGTACCTCAACCAGTCACTCCCATTCCTTCTCCCCCAGCCTCTGGACATCCACTAATCTATTTTCTGTGTGAGTCTGCCTGTTCTGGACATTTTGTACAAATGGGACTATACAACACGTGACTTTTTGTGTTTGGCTTCCTTTGCTCTGCATGGTGTTTCCAAATTTTGTCTCTGTTACAGCAGGCACTAGTGCCTTTTTTCATAGCTGAATCATATTCTGTTGTTCATATTTTGATACTTTTGATTAGATATATACTATGTGTGTATATGTGTATGTGTATGTGTAAACACACATTCAGTACTCTGACTTATGTCTTCTGATATTTTACAGTGGATACATACCCACTTGAACCAGGGAGACCAGGATATTGCCTCTTATTTGGAAATAACTTTTATATTAAATGAGCAGAGAGAAGTCTTTCATTTAGAACCAGGTTGCACAGATGACTTTTTCTAATACTCTTCTTAGACATTACTAATACATACGGTCTTGATGCCTTGAAAATGATTGAGTTTAGTTCAGCAACGGGGCCCAGAGGTTATTCAAGAATTTCCTGACTACTTCAGTCACGCTGGGCCTGGATTTCAGTGTTGTGCCTTGCTGTTCACAAATGTTTTGTGCACTGCGGCTGGTGGAATTTGGCTCCTGGCTTGCTGATGGGTCTGTAAAGGCTACAATGACTCTCCAGGAAAGTTCTGTGTTTCTAGTGATGAATGTGAGGTAGGTGGGGCCCCCCTCACCTCAAGGGTAATATATCTGCCATTTGGGGTTTGCTATGGATTGGTGACCCTGGTTTACAGGTCACTTTCTTTTCTTTGTGCAACTAATGTGTCCTTTAGTTCTTTAAACAGAAGTTACTTAAGCTGCTTAGAAATAGCGGCTGATGCTTTTTGAGTCACAGCAGGAATTTAGATAGTGTAAGAGAGCTGTTTCTGACTCTTCACAGTGAGGTTTACAACTAGCATGCTGATCAGGGGAGGCGAGTCTCCCATGCCATTCCGAATAACAGGCCTTCCCCTCAGTCCCCTACTGTCCCTTCACCACAGTGAGCACCTGAGATGGGGACAGCCTTTATGCCTGGGTCCTGGTAGGATGCTTAATACACCCTCATGGCAGCAAAACTGCACCAGCATAAACCCAGGACTACTGTCGAACCCTGGCAAAATGCTGTTGAATTGGTCTGACGTTTGCCCTCCAAATGCTGCCTGTGTAACCAGTGGGGTCAGTATCTGGCTGCTCTGCACGCCCGGAATAGGCCCCATCTGCAGCTTAGAGCTTGGTTTCCTCTTTCATATCTCCCAGTCTCCTGTTTTAATAATGCACAACAGGTGAGCTCGCTCTGTGGCTTTGTCTTTACCATGTCCTCAGCTTTGGTTTGTCACTCTCAGTTCTTCTAATTATGAGAAACATATCATTGATAGTGAGTGAGTGGGGGAGAGATGGGTGACTTCCTCACTAAGAAGGATCAAATATGTTCACCTGGTGTCTTTTAGTTACTTTTTACTTGTTGCTGAGACAAAATACCTGAAGCTCAAAGTTGGGAAAGGAAAGGTTTATTTCTTACAGTTTTTGGAGGTTTCAGTCCATACTCAGTTGGCTCCTACCAGGGTGGCATGGCGGTTGCAAACAGCAAGTAGAAACCTGGCAAAAGAGTGAGACACACCTTCTTCCTGCCATTACATTGTATGCTGGCTCCACCCCTCTGTGGGTGTAGCACTGACACCATTAATCCAAGCGCTAGACAATGAACCAATCACAAATGCACAATGCAAATGCATGAGGCCTGGGAGCCACTGACATAAACCATGACATCTGGAGAGTGCTGGTGCTGTTCCCCCTCATTAGGAGCTGTAGTTTTTTGTGAGAAATCATAGTGGAATTCATTTGGCCACACCTTTGTCTAGTGACTTGATCCTGATGCTGGCCCAACAGCATCAGGAAGATACAGGCCCTTGAGAGAGATGCCAGCGCTCAGACTTCACCCTAGCCATGGGATCAGAGCTCCTGCTTCGGGGAGGCCTCCAGGGATCCCAATCCTGCTCAGGTTTAGGAATTGGGAGACAAAAACAATTCATTTAAGGACAAGAAAAAGGAGAAGAAGCACTTAAAACATTACCTGGGTGTATCTTCACCAACAATGGTGATGATGGTGTTTAACGGGACGGGAAGCCTTTAGAGCTTTCAGTGACACACGCAGCCCACTGCCATATGAGTGCCGTAGGTTCACCACCACTGTGATAAAGATAGTGATGATGACAGTAATAGTGACACTTGTGATGGTGGGCACGACAGGGGTAGTGGTAATGATGGTGATGACAGTGAACGTGGTGAGGAGGCCACTGATAATGGTAGTGGTGATGATAATGATGGACCTTTCCACGTTTACAGTTTTCAAAGCTCTCAACCAAGGCTTTTTAATTCTCCAGGCTTTTAATTCTCTCCTCTCCAGGAGAAGAGGAGAGAAAGATGTGTAAGTCAATATGATTGCTATCTAAAATGTCCCCAGAAAGCTGATGGGTTTTTGAGAAGTGATGGGATCAGGAGGGCTCTAATGTCAGCGATGAGTCAATCCATTGATTAATTCAGAGCTCATTAGAGGAATGACCTGATTTGAAGCAGCTGATCCCTGAGCTGTGAAGGATACATTTTCTGGTCTCTGGTCTTCTCTCTCTGCTTCCTGTCTGCTGTAAGGTGAGCCGTTTTGTCCTACCACCTTGTTTCTGGCTCACTGTGGACCCAGAAAAACAGTCAAGTGACCATGGACTGAAACCTCTGAAGCCATGAGCTAAAATAAACTTCTCTCTATTTTGTCACAGTGACAGAAAGCTAGAGCACTGGAATACTAAAAACAGTCAGAGGCCCCCACCTCCTGACTTCCAGCCCAGAGCTCTGGGGCCTGGGGTGAGGCTGGTGCCTCCCCGTGGCAGGGAATGATCCTTGCACCCTGGAATGGACAAAATATCAGGACCTTTTCATGACATTCCACTTGACAGCAAACATCCTGAAGACGATGAGAAATCATGAGAGGAGCTCCAGCAAATGAGGGGACCTAAGTCAAGATGAAGCCATAGTGAGAGAGAGAGAGGTGGAGGTGGCGAAAGTGCTCAGTGTGACAAGTTGTCATATGACAAGGTGCTGGCACCTAACTGCCTATCTGTACGCTAATGTTCACATTGCACAGAAGTGCTGTGTAGACACGGCGCAAATACAGGAGGTGACCCTCCTACATGCACGTGGCTCTCATTCAGTCCAGGGGAGACCACAGAGGAAAGACAGAAGAAAGTCTGCATCAGCTCCGCTGTGTTATCACCAGCCTGAGTGTCCACCCGCTGGCCTGGCCTGTGCATGGCTCCACCATTCTGTAATTCAGATGCTTAAAACACAGGTCTCCAACCCTTTTGGTACCAGAGACAGGTTTTGTGGAGGACAGTTTTCTGTGGATTGCAGGGGTGATTCAAAGGAGCACGCAGCCTAGGTCACTGTCATGTGGAGTTCTCAGCAAGGTCCTCGCTCCTCGGAGAACCTAATGCGCTTCTGATCTGACAGGAGATGGAACCCAGGCAGCAAGGAAACAGCTAATAAATAGAAAGCTTCTCTTATTCATCCACTGTTCACATTCTGCTGTGAAGCCTGCTTCTTAACAGGCCATGGACTTGTACTGGTGAGTGACCCAGAGGCTGGGTACCCCTACCTTAAAACAGACCTTCATGTCTATTTTAGACTACATGTATGTGCATATAGGTAGGTATCTATAAAGATCTATACATAGATCCAGATGTGCACATTGATATATTAGTCCATATGCATGTGTGCGCTCTCTGGCCAGCTCTGGGTGACACGCAGGAGAGCTGACCTGAGCCACTCCTGCCTCTGCAGCTACATCAGAAGGGGCTTTGTTGTGTGGAATGGAGCCCTCAGCTCTGGCAGTGCATATGTGGAGAGGGCTCCCTGTCTCCTGTTGCCACTGGCCACCTGTCTCCCGGATACAGCCAGCAGTTGGCAAGCAAATGCTCAGAAGGAGAGAGGGTGGAGAATATGAGAAAAGGAAATGGCAGTGAAAACATCCAGGATGGCCTGGAGTCAGGCTTTACGTGGGCCAGGTGGCAGGAGGCTCGGTTGGGGTGGAGCAGGCCTTTAAGTAGAAACCTTCTAGTGGCTGTGGTGTCTAGGGAGGGTCATGCCTTCTCTGGATGCAGCCTCTCCAGGCGCAGTGTCTGTCCCTGCAGAAGTTCTTGGACCCCATGCTTTGGGTTTTAGGGAGACCTTGTTTCCTAAGTGTGACTGACGACACCATTGCCCATTGGTGACCAACTCAGCCTGCAGCCTGTCTCCCAGGCTGGGGGGGAGGGCACAATGTTCCCACCCTTTAACCCATGGTCAGCTGCCCTGGCACCAGCCCCATTTCAGGGATGT